GGACACCGGCCCTCCAGGACCGAGTTTGGACAGCCCTGCTTTAGAGTGAACATGACCTGTGTACTGGCGCTCTCAAATGTGCTGAATATTGCTGAAAATGATGCCATAATTATATGGTTAAATTTATAATGATTGTTCTAACACTTAATTACAAACAATAAATTCATAAAACATCTTACCTTTGGAAATTTACAGCTAGAAAAGTTGGAGGTTATTCTAACTTTGATTTTTAAGAAGATCCTCTTCAAGAATTCAAATTCATCTTAAGTTATGTCTTAAAGGGGTCATATGATGTTGCTAAAAATAACATTATTTGAAATCGCATCATATGACCCCTTTAAGAACATTCTTTTTTCATAACAGCAGTTAAGAAAAATTGTATTCTTAAGAATGTTTCTTGAATCTGGCCCCAGTTCCTCAGCACCTCAGATTAAAGATCTGGCAGTCAGGCAGACCATTTTTTTCCCCATGTATTATTATTAGCATTGCAACATTGACTAGTTTGTGGTCAGATGGGTTGATTAAGCTATGATAGCTTTAAAAAAAAAAAATCTAACCATTTAGTTAGAACACTTTTAGTCAAGACATTTGTGAGTAAAAGTTCTCACTATTCCAAATCTATTTCTCAAAATACCAGATTTGTTTCCTGAATTATGTCTGTTTAATATAAAGACTTAAAAATAAGATTTATAATAGACTTCAAGGCATTTACACATGACTTCTCATGGGGATTGAGTGTCTCTGCTGAGAAAAAGAAAGAAATACTGCTACAAAGCCCAAAAAAGTGTGAAAGCAGGTGATCAATAATAACATTTGTCGGAGGTTAGCTCTCCATCACATGAACTCTGCAGTTCACACCGTGTTTGTACATCTAACACTTTCCTACCACCTCATTCCTCAGTTTAATTAGTCAGTCTGATTATTTTAGAACTGTCTCAATATGAGCACATTTTTACCACGGCATGAAAGATAGCTTTAATAGGACTGCATTCCATGAATGTAAAACACAAATAGATCTTAATTCAAATGAAGCATTGCTTTTTCTTCAAGCAGTTTTATGAGGTGGACAAAAAGTAGGGTTGCCAGATTCAAATTAAGTTAAGTAAACTGCAAAAATGTGTTGACACGGCATATTATGTGGTATTTTGCAGTGCAAAAAGAGATGATTGTGAATGTTTTAAATTATGTTTATGAGTTTGTTATGAAAGCAAAAAGAGAGCTAAAGCACCACTTTGGCATCACGCTTCAATGTCCCATCTATTTGTATGCTGTTTTCTCTGTCACTATGGATATTTGGTGGAAGTATTTCTTTTACTTCATTTCAGGAGAGGAATTGGCTTTCAATTCACATTTTAGCCTTAAACATCCCTGAGCAAATTTATCGAGTAATAAACTGGACTTGTCTCTAGGAACTCCATCCATTTCTTCAAAGCTTTTGAACTGAAATGGAAAATCCAAACTTTGCATACAGACCATGACCCTTACCTGTGCACTCATGTTGAAGTCCTTTTCCATAGTATCCTTTCTCACACACACAGTCGTACTGTCCTGTGTGTGTACCGCATTTACAACTGCCCATTATGTCACAACAGTCCTTTCCCTCTTTGCACAACGATGAACACTGGGCCAGGTCCTCCTGAATATAACTTCCAGTTGGAAGATCTGGAAGAGAAAATGGCAATGAATATCAGATTTTGCACATTTCTCTGATGCAAAAGACAATAATTTTTGCCTTCGTAATTCATCTATTCCTACCTGTCTAACTGAACTCCAAGCGGCGCTGGAAAAGTGAGCATGTGTGTGTTTCGGTATTGGCGTCTTCTGCATAACTAACTATAAAAACCTTCACTTTTGGCAGGACCATTTTGTCTCCCTAAATACAAACAAATGCATGGCTCCAGATGTTGGCATACACATACAGACTACGCAAGCTGAAGGAGTCTGCACTATCTTGGACAAAGGATATGACAGACATGATATCACAACGGGAGCTGAGAGCAAACGATGCCACAGCTTTAGTCAGGCCTCCCTTTGCCAAAGCCAATAACTGATCTGTTGCTATCGAGAGGGCTTCTTTGTTTTATATCTCTCTGGGTTTATTGTAGATTGATGTCGTCATGAAGAAAGGGGTCTTTTGAGTTCATGTGGCTGATTGAGTTCAGAGCTCAGATAAGAAGAATCTGCTGTAGCCAGACAGCCAAAGGAAATAATAACACTGAATTATTTTTGTACCAGTTTTCTTTTACACTGGGATTAACAGGGGCTCATATTTGTCCGGCTCAGGAAAAATGAGCTGGATTGGCCTTTGATTTCCCTTTACAAACATTCACCATGGTAACCACAGTTTCTGTTAAAATATCACAGCAACTGCAATTATTAAAAGAGCTTGTTATTAGTCACCACTGACATCAAAATAAAGTTTGTTATGCTGCTAACTATGGTATTTAGAGGAAACTATGGTTACCACGCTAAATTTTAGTAAAGCTTTGATTTATATGAAGACAAGAGAATTCTGTGACTATATTGTATTTTATAGACATTTTTCCTTTTCACAATTACCCTTTGGTTAATGCCTTTTCAAACTCCTGTTAAAGTCAAACTTTAATCCTTGTTTACATAATGTTTTACACCTTTACTTTTGGCAGGGGTTTTAGCACTACTTTTAATAGATTTGCCAAAGTGTGAGCCCCTGATAGCACACGTATATCACGTAGACGTCTATTTGATGTCTGCATTTACATCTGCAAGACGTATTTTCTAGAGTGTTTGCTCATCTGCAATAGGTCTAGAGGACGTGTCTGTCCTATCAGATGTCAAATAGACGTTTAGAAAATGTCTTTAAGATGTTTATGATTTAGAATGTATGTAAAACTGACTAAAGACGTCTGTGAGATGTTTGTACACAACAGATGCTTTCTAGATGAAGTGATCTTTAACAGACATCTTGCAGATGTATGTGTGCTATCTGGGTTGGTGCTAAAATTTTCCTGTGAGTTGTATAGCAACAGAAACCCAGTAATAATCTTTTACAAACCTCATTAAATATTAATACGTTTTATACAGTCGCAAAAACTTTGATGGTATTAGTGTATGCCTGAGAGAAACTGTTAACATGTCAAACAGTGACAGCAAACACCATTCATTCATTCAAATACTTCAAACAAAATACAACCAGTGGAAATATAGCGACATTTTCTAACTGACAAACGTTTGGCTAGTAAAGCAAGTCGAGTTACCGTTGTATCCGGGTTGTGTGCTGGTCACGTGCTATAGCTGTCCATTCAATATTATCTGCCTCATAAATATGCAAATAAGAATTTATAGGAAACGTATGTGAACGACTACTCACTGTCAGTGTTGCCAGATTGGGCGGTTTTGAATTTGATTTTGCGGGTAAAAAAAGGCTTGGGCGGGTGGACAAAATTTGGGCTGGTTTGGGGTCAATTTGGCGGTTTTCAAACATATAAATTGCATAGGCTAATTGTTTAACAAACAAGCCCAAGTATGTATACTGCATCCAATCAGTCTTCACAATGTTACTACACACACACACACTGCAGAGGCGCTGGTGCTGATGTAAACGTCGACAACCACACTTATCACGAGGGCTCAGCAGACAGACGTTATGATTCATGAGTGACAAGTTTTTAGCGTGATAAGTTATAACGTATCTGATTTTGAATGTAGTATGACTGTATGTTCAAGTAATCACAATGCCTAAATATAAGTTAAAGAGTGGGAGAGTGACTCAACTCTCAAAATGTGAATTATTGTGGAGTGAGATCACTCTATCACTGCAACTCCGAAATCAGAGCACATTTGAATTAATCATAACC